ACCCACACCCACACCCACCCCTTACTAATTGAGTGAGTCAATCCAGATATTGCAAAGGTTGAATATCAAATGAAATCATGTTGATAAAATTTCTTAAACAATTATAAAGTACTCAGTTGCATTGATGTCGTTTATAAACCGAGATTATTTATTTTTGTATATTATCATAGAATTTCAATGGCTACTGAAGTTAACTTATTTCAAACAAATGTATTGACTCTAAATTCTCGTTTTAGAAACGGATTTCTTTATCTTGAAATAAAAGAAAAATGTTCTAATGATAAGTTACTTTTTCAAAATAATAAATATATGCATTAAAAGTTAATAATAATGAAATAGAATTTAACAAACAGTTCTTTTTTTCTTTATTCTAACAAAATTGACTCATTGAAATTTTAAGACCAATAGATTCTTTTCCAATTCAGTTGCTTTTGTAACACGACATAATTGTCCTATAAAATCCGGTAAATGGGCTGTACCAGATAACGAATTTTCATTTAACAAGAATTAAAGATTACTTTAAATTAAATTCGGTTTCATCTTTAAATTTCTTACCGATAAATGTGGTACATAGGATGCTGCACAAATATTAAATGGATTATATTCATCATAATTTAATGGATGTTCATCAATTGGATTTTTTTCACGAACACTTAATACTTTCCGTGTCTAAACAAAAGAACACAAAAAAAATAAGTTTTTATTGTTTTTTGTTCGTCTTCTAAAATAATTCAATCAAAATTATGTTTCATTTAACAAAGAATAAACTCAATTGTTTTCAAATAAATCAAAAAAACATGAAAAATTTCTATCAACAGATTTGAAATATCTTGAAAGCATGAAAGATATGTTTTCTTTCTTGTTTTTTTGGTTTATTTTAAAACCGTTCAAAGTTGCAGTCAAGAAAGAATGAGAATATTTGGTTTCAAAAATGAAAGATTAATACTAAAGCTAAAAACCTATTGAGCAACATCAGATGCTGGTTCCAATTCCAATAGACGTATGGCAAAGCTTGTTGCAGCTTTATAATTTTTTAATTTCAAATGCTTAAATGAAGATTTTAATGTCATGATCATCTTTTGCTAAATCTTTTTTTTGCCATTAACATTTGTAAACCAACAATGTATTCTTTACATATTTCAGTTAATTGTTGACTCTCAAGAATATCTTGACGTGATTCAACAATACATAATGCAACAGATAATAATATTGAACGAAATTTTTCAACAGCTTCTTGAAATTTTCCATTTGTTGTTAAACGATAAGCGATCTGAAGACGTCCAACTGCTGGATAAAATAGTTTTGGTGAATGGATTTCACGTCTTAATAATTAAAATAAAAATTTTAAAATATTTATTAAATGAACAAATACAAACCAATTTCTTAATGAAATATGCATATAATTATGATAATGATGGAAGTGCTGTAAAAGCTGTACTTGAACGTGAATATATTTGAATAAAAACATACAAGATCAGGTGATAATTCAATTTCAGTATCACCTCAACCTTCATCTTGATTATTCTTAAGATCATCGTCATTACTTTCAATTGGTACTTCATCATCAGCCCAATCTCAATCACTCGTTGCTGTTTCATGAATATGAAGGTTTGCAGCAAGTTTTGCTGTTATGTTTGATATTAAACCTGCTTTAATTCTTGTTGACTTCTTGGACATGGTGGTAAAATTAATTTAGCATGTAGATTTGTTTCAAGTAACTAAAAAAATATATTTTATTTTGAATTATGAAATTTAACACGAGATTAATATTGATTAAATGTATGTCTATCTTAATACTTCATATCTAACATATCAATTAAATAAAGAACAAGTAATAACATCTTTGTTGAAATCTCAGTCTATCGACCTATTTCTTTTTTGACATAGAATATGAGAAGTCTTCTTACTTTTTTAAAATCTACATTCAAATGGATATCAATCAAAGCAGGAACACTAAATTAACTATGACATGGTAATTTCTTGTAATCTATGTTCAAAAAAATCTTATCTGTCAATATCAAAAGCAACATCGATAATTATCATAAACTTCTCTATCCAATAGTACGGAAAAATCTTTAGATAAAGGATATGGGGTGCGTCCTTTTTCGTCCTTAATCATGTGTCAGGATGTAAGGAAGATAGGAACGAAAAAGGACGCACCCAGAATATGCTAGACATAATTAAACATTCTTAGATATTATTTAGAATCTCAAAAGAATTGATATACTGGCACGAAAATTTATAACTAGATTTCAGGACTTTTAGCTGAAAATATTAGAAAACTATAAAATTTTCTATATTGTTTTGTTTTTTTTTCTAAAGACCTTCAGAAGAAGTATTAAGATGAGAATTTTTTTTGTTGTCAATAATAAATTACTTTTTCATCAAGTGATTCCAGTGTACAAGAAGCACAACAAATTTAATAATTTTCTCTTAGAAAAAAGAAAAGAACAATCTAAAATCTTACTTTGATTTCATTGTCTAAGAAGTTTAATGCATTCTTCAACATCTCCTAATAGCATTGGAATCTGATCTTGTAAATAAATAAAAGTTAATTTTTCCCAACAATCTTTACCATCTAATTTTGGTCGAACTTCTGTATGAAAACAAAAAAAACAATATTTTCATTAACTTTTGTTCTATAAATAGGTAAATCAACTGTACAAATAACTCCATGATCACCATTAATAAGGGCATACTTTATCATTTGACCATATTGCTTTTTCTTATACTTGTTAATGAGCGCTTTTGTTGAGCATCATATAAAATAATATCATAATTTTCACGAATTAATAAAAGACGTGTACCAACCTAAAAAATTAAAGAAAAAAAATTTAAAAAAAGAAACAAATTTAAACTTACAATATAATTTTTTTATCAAGAAAAATAAATTGATTTCGAGCAACCCATATAGCATTCAAATCAGACAAATGACGCCCTTCAGGTTGACAAGTTGCAATAATTACAATAAATTCATATTTTACATAATAAAAATTGCGAATATATGATAAAAATTTTTCCATGTTGCTGCTGATCTATCGAACAAAGAGAAAAGAATTCCATGATGACCACATACTTGAATATTGTGTGTTTGTCTGCTTCGTGTGCTCACAAACGAACATGACACAGACAAGAATGAAAAACAGGCCTAGACAATAACGTTTTTTTTCTTTTCTTCTCTCGTCCGTAAGTTATGCTTCATGTTGTCATTGATGATCAATGATAATATGACATAATGAGTGTGTACGTCAATTAAGCATTATCCATACACATACATTGAGATACTGTGATTGACTTTATCTCAATGTATGCATGTATGTTGATAATAGCTTAATTACTATCATCACTCTCTGACGAGAAAAAAAAAAGAAAATTATCGACTTTTTAACGTATAAATATGAATGATTTTCCATGTAAAAATCATTCAATTTATTGAATCAAATTCTAATCTTTTTTTTTATATTTTAGATTGGCTGCAACGATACAAAATTATATAATTCAATTCAAATCAAGACAATAAAAAAATGTGGGTATCAGTTTTTATTTTTTTCTTCTTTTTTTTTGTCTTTATTGGATCATACAGAGGGTGGTAAGTCCTCTTGTGATCTTTTATATTCATGTTTTTCTTTTTCTTTTCTTTGTTGAGATGAGAATAGTTAGGGTGACTGAGGTACGTTGAGTTTAGGGTTTCGCTTTATAAGAAGGACTTCCGGGTAGTCCCTAAAAGCCTGACTAGGAACTGTCTTGGTGTCCGTGGCACACGATCGGGCCCCCAGACTCACTGACATATGACATCGGATGG